ATATATAAAAGTATATTTAATCTAATAATAAGAAAATTCTATATAGTAAGTAAAAAAGAATATCCCTATACTAAGCTATTTATAATATTTTTATAAGGCAATATAGTTATTTCTTAATGATTTCTTAAATCTTAGTTATTATAGCTTAAATAGTATTTAAAAAGGCTTTTAAAAAGGCTAATAAGATCTTAAGTTAGAAATTAGGCTAGCCTTATATTAAATATAACTCTAAAGCTTAAAATTACTATAAATATTAAAAGAAGGTTAGAATAGGTTAGAATTTATTATAAAGTTAAAAAAATAAAAGAAATAAATATTAAAAATATTAAAATAGCTATTAAGAGAAGTAGCTTATAGTATTAAAGTTAGTATATTATTATAAGTATAAAAAGGTTAGAATAGCTTTACTTACTAGGCTATAGCCTTTTTTAAATAATATTATAGCCTTAGTATAGGGATTTATATAATAAAAGTTAATATTAATAGGGCAATTTAGTTAGTTAAAAAACTAAATTAATGTAGACCTTTATGGCCCCTAAAGTGGGGTTAGGAGGTAGCTATGGAGTCATTTTTGCACATTTATAATCCTGGCAACCTGTACGTAGCAGCAGTACAAGGATTATCATCTGAACGATTATTCCTCAGCTCATATCGTCTCGATTAGCGTTTTAACTAGTAAACGACCAACAAGATCCCTTTGACAAATAAGAAGCTGGTGTTGACGAATTGCAATGTAAACATTCAACGGCCCGTATCATCCGTGTATCGCTCACATGCGAACTTGTGGAGAAGAGCAAGGATAGACTGGAGGAAGACTGACATGGACTCCAGTCTGGAAACATGAAGCAACGATATAATATGCGATGCATGTTTTATTAGGAGGTTCACAGCAATGACATGCCTTGCATGTTGTGAGATTTTCCACATCATGCAAAGGGCAAGCAAGGAGGCTGGTGAGAAGCTCGCGTATAAGGTCCGTGAGACGGCGTTGCAGATGTACCCAATAATAAATGCAGATACCCTTCCCATGATACTTTACCTACCTAGTTTAACATAGCGAGGGAGTCAGGTGGTTAAAGTTCAAGAGCCAGGAGACAGACCCGGAACATGAATTAATTGAATGAGCAGAATAACTACAAAATACAATCTCTCAGCATGTTCGACTAAACCCACATAGGTTCTATACCAGACCTCCACTACCTGCTAATCCACGCAATTGACAGACAATAGGTTACCTAGGTATCTAAATAGTAGGTAGGTAGCTAGAGGAGGAAAGAAAATACAGGCCCTTAACCCTAAGCAGTAAAAATATTTAGGTAAATCTAGCCTTAGCTTAGGGGACTCTTTGCTAAGTTTATTTTGATACCCTATATCGAGGTCCGGTGTTTTTTTGCTCCCCGAGGTATAGGTACCTAACAAAGATGTAAGAAGGTGGAGAGAGTGGAGGTGGGCCTTGAGGAGAAAAGAGGGAAGGTGATACATTCCTGTTTTCATGATACCTAGAATTCGAGGCGTCCGATCGCCTCGAGCTTGTGGGTCTTGTACAAGATGAGACGCTTGATAAGTTGGGTAAGGACCTACCGTACTCCGTACAAACTCACGAAATTGAGTAGCGCTAACGGCCGAGAGGCAGATAGGGTTCGATAGGAGGCACCTGGCCACCTGCCAACCTCACCTGTAATACCTACAAGATTGACGTTAGTATGGATGTTGGTAGCGCGACAAACGCTAGACGCTTGGGTCATGTGCTTGATCTTTGGACCCAACCCACCTCCAGGCAAGTGCTTTTCATAAGATAGGTACCCTAAGGTAGGTACGGTAATGAGGCTCAAGTCAACTTCACCTGACTGGTATGGAATGAAAGGAATGGAAGTCACGACTGCCCACGAGGGCGATGCCTCAGGTTTCAGCTGAAACAGAGTCCATCTTGTCTTGGCAAGCTGACCGATATTTCTCGTCAACCTCATACCCTCATCATCCTTGTTGCTCATCTGTCAGCTCTCACTTTCTTCAGCTCGCGAGCGCAACAAAATCTCGACACCGCCCCAAAGCAACGAGAATCTTTCTGCAACGTTTGCCGTATTGGGATTGGAGAGGTGTGGCTGGCCACCCAGTGCGCAACACCCATTCGATGTGTTGGCCATGGCCTTAGCAGCAAAAAAGCAAATCCGTCATCTGTTGGTTACACAGCACATCTCCTTAAGCATCTCGTCTTAATGAGGAGCCGATGACGAAGGCCTGCATGGTATTGCAGACGGTAACTACGATCACAGTAGCATGACGGGCGCCTCAGACGCTATTGCGCGCCTATACTGAGTTCAGTCCGACCTTGTAGGAAGCTATCGATCTGAAAATGCTGCTAGCTGCAAGTATCCGATTCGGATGTACTGAAGAAATGATAATTGATACAACGGATAGATCATTTATCAACTTTTGAAAAGCGAGCAAACAGTCCGAAATGTACATGTCTATGGCATCCAAACGGCGATCACCAATGCATATTCTATCGCCACGATCAAGATCAACAATGATGACCAGTAACAACCAACAGTGCTGCAAAGAGTAAACAAGATTCATCGACTGGCTGTGTCCGCAATGTGTCTTCTCTTCTAGGCTTGCTTCCTCAACACTACGGTCGCTGCCTCGCGCCGCCAGCCCGCAAGGTAATTCTGTATCGCCGTCGCCGATACAAGACACACATCAAACAGTCGTCATAAAACTTACTGGGAAATGAATTTGAAGCTCAGATTGGACCTGCGTTGCTTCCGTGGTCTGCTGGTAATGAGTCGACTGCACCCAAGCGGAGCATGAGCTCCCACACAAGATACACGTCAAATATGACAGAATACCCGGCAGACTTTGTGGCTCTCTAAGTTTTGCTTCGTTTTTCTTCCTTTATAAAATGTACTCAATGGATGTACACCGCTGCTTGTACTGTGCTCAGACTCGGACGCCTCTCCTGCACCCTTTTACCCTTTCATCTCACCTGCAGCATGCAAGTTTCTGGATGGCCAACGGTGCAGAATGCCTAGCACCTTATTCTTCCCGTACGAATATGTAGCGACGGGAACTTTCTGTTATTAGCCCTGTTTCTCCCAAAGGCTCCCACTGGCCCCCAAATTCGGTTGCCGTCGGAGTCAGAAGACTATCACTGACTTCCATGCACAAGAGAATATATGCTGGTAACCGACACTCAATCCGGTCAGAAGGGTGTTGCCTACATCATAGTTGTCAACGACGAACTAAGCGTCAAGTTTTAACAACACCCCCCCAAAGCTGGACAAGAAAACAGTTGACCCACGGCTATGGTCCCAGCAGAACGGTTGAGGCGTACGCTACTGGCTTTAACATCCAACCAACACTGTACATATCAAGTTATTGAGCAAACATTTTTTTCTCAGTAAGTTGGGCTTGAATAGCCTGCTGCCGGCTACAGTCAAAGTGGCAATTGGTCCAGATCGGAAGCACCAACATAGTGGCAACCCCCTGGCCAATGTCATTCACACATCTCAAGATCTTGCTGGGATCTGAACGACAGGGCTTGCCCCTGACAGTGCAAATTCGGCTTAACGCGATCTCAGAGGCTGCGTTAAATGGACCACTTCCCAGTCTAGCGAGCCAGATGGGCTAGGGTGCCTTGAGCACGGTCTAGCTTATTGTCCACAATACTGTACAGCGAATGTTTACCTTGAAAAAAAAAACCCCCACCCAGAACGGACTGTTTGATTATCGGAAGCGACAAGTTTCGCGATTGGATTGTTTAAGATAGATACTGGCTAGCACGTCTCCCCTTGGGCATTCCGCCTCAGCCATGGAGTAGTACTCCGTGCTCGAATTCGATCAGAGTCTGTGCCTCTTTTTAGGGATAGGTCACTCCGCTCAACTACCCGCCCCTTGCTTCTACGCGATGCGGGTCTCCCTGGACAGGATGAGCTATAGTTACTGCTCTTTTCCTCTCTTTACTGTACTCTTCTTTTGACGGAAGACTGCTCATGAGCTATTCTCATGAACTCGACTGGTAGTTGAGGAATGTATTGGTGACTATGCACCCTAAGGATGGAGTTGTTCGCCAAACGGATAAGCCCTACGGAACCATGGTTGGTTGGATGTATCATACATACGATACGCAGGCTTTGTTGCTCCACCAAGCATGGCAGTAGAAGCAACCTGTAGTAAAAGGCATGGTAAAGCAAGACGATCATCCTAGTCGGCGGGCGAGTGCTACACGTGCTGACAGGCTGGTCTGACGAAGCGGCACCCTCACTCGCAGCAACGCATCCGCACGAAACTATCTTTACAACCCTGCGGCAGGTACGGATAGGATCCCGGTTGATGCTTTTGCTTCTTCGCTCCACCTTGTCTTCTCTGCGGCGGGGAGGGTTTTGGAGAGGGTGTCCCCCAGAAAAGAAAGGCGTTTTGTCTAACGCCAAGTCCGACTGTTGGTAGCGTCTATCAACTCGGACAGGGGTGGCACACAGATCCCTTCATAAGTTGAGACAATCACTTAATACGGTCTCGTCCTTTGATGTTGGCTTATTACCGGCGCCCAGGTACCAGACAAAAGAACGAGAGAGTTTGCGTCGGCTGAAATCAGGCGTGCCTTGGCCCGACAGACAAGAACACCTTCAGCACATCGCTAATCGAATACAAGAGAGTCGGTCCCCCTTCCATTGAGCTGTCAACATTTGAAAAGATATTACCGGAATTTTCAGTAGATATTCCCGGCTCTAACTCTCCCTTCTTTTTCTATAGTCCCTTTACTCTCCCTTCACCCCTTGCTTAGGTCTTGCAAACCAAGACGTATCTAGTTTCCACTTGCCTTCACCCTCGGCCAGCCTCGAAGTTTTCAACTACCGCCAGACGCCTCCCTGATAATTCTTCAAGAGGAGACCCATTTCCACCTGAATCATAACAAACAACTCTGGATCAAAACAAAGAACCAGAACCATTTACATCGGCTCGTCTGCTTGTTGTGTGACAGTTGTCAGACGCCTGTCACAATGAGTATTCATCCATTCCTCAAGATGGAGGGGGCCTCTAGGAGACATTCGGCAGAAGACCCGAGCCAGACACACACCTATCAATGTTCGACTCAACCCCAAACCCCACCATGTTCAACCTCAGGAAGCCCCAGGGTCAAGTTTGAGGGTAAGTTCTGGTTTATCAGAGACTCAGCACCTCAGCATGGAGACTAGAGACTAACAACACTAAGAGTTCACAAGCCTCCCCAGATTACATGACGCCGTATCATCTCAAGGGAACAATGTTGTGAAGCTCCCTAGTTTAGGAGAATTTGACGAAGGAGTTGAGGCCCTCATTCGAACACATGGACCAGTGAAAACCTGGACTCCATTATCTCCGCTCCCTGGACATTCTCGCAACCCCATGGCCCTTCAGCCTATGAGATCTATTACACAACCACTGCCGCCTCGGTCTTTCCAAACAGTTGACCTTCCAAACGACTACCCGATCTCAAGAAGAGGTACCATCGGCGGTCATAATCGATACTCGCTTGCAGTTGATCATCAACAGCAATCTTCGCAGGGAAACTATCGAAACCCAGACACGTCCTACGGCTATGGCGCTTGCAGCCCATCTCTTCAAGCACCATCGAACACGCATTGCTATCCAAGTCCACCACCAGACGGTGAGGGTCGACACATTAACCAGAAGTACACAACAGAGGAAGGTGACTACATCATCTACGCCTGGCATGACAAGAAGATGAAGTGGCAGCGCATCAAGCAAGAATTCGCAGCTCGATTTGGCACTACTCCCGAACGTACAATCCAAGGCCTCCAAGCGTGGTATTACCGTATGAACCAACGCATACCTGTTTGGGATCAGGAAGGCTGGCTCTGCTTCGATAACGAAGATGACCTTGAACCTCAGCATGTCAGCATCAAGGTCCGTGAAAGGGATAACCAGGACAAACCCATGGAGCCGCTGGGCATAGCTCAGCGATACCCCGAACGTGCTATTCACTATTCGTGGGTCGATGCTGAGACTAAGTTCAAGGCCCAAGACTGGGGCACGTATTTATTACTCACTGAGACATGGCAATGAAACTAACACTGCTTACAGCTGCCAAAAGAGCTTTGCAATATCGCGACAGGAGAGAGAGACGTAGAAGAAAGGAGCAGCGACGACTGAAGCTATGAAGAACAAAGCATGCTGTCCCCTGTGACCAAGCTTGCAGCCCGAATCAACAACCGGCGGAGATTTTAACGAGGTAGGGTGATTTCGACCACCACTGCCACTGATGAAGCGAATTGTTTCCTTTCCTTACTTGGGTTGAACTCAAAGAGTTCTATATCACGCTTTCCAACGACCGAATTTATAACGACACGACGATCATGTTCCTACCATACCCTGAAGCATGTAACTAAATCTCCTTTGTTAAACACGTACATTCTGTTTCGTGTTCGCTTTTCCAACACTCGAGTGTCATACAGACCACTCTTGGACATATATCAGCGCCATGCACAACACCGCCGGGGAAGGATGACACTGGGGGCGGGCAAACAAGATAGCTGGTTGACAAGTTGAGTTGGTGTGTTTTTCATATGCTTGTACTATTAGACGAATCACGATTGATTTCCCCAAAATAATGAGACCAATGGACATAGCAGAGTCATTACTATGGTAGAATCGGCACGCAAAACACTTGAGTTGCTAATACCACGCCAAGTGTATTGTATTTTTCATGTCTTGGCACAAAGTTTCTGTATCTGAGATCTATTGTGATTCACTTGACATTTGACTATAATGAGCTTAAGCTCAGATGTAGATGTCATGCTATACAAGCTTATAATCTTAAAGCCACTACCTCAGCCCCTTTCCCCGACAAGTGGTTGCCAAGAATCTAAGTCAATTCATTCGGCATTTCGCGTCTGGTTTGATAAAGCGAAAGCAAACATGTAGATCCCCACAGGGTAACACAGCCCAGGCCGTTAGTGCAGGGCTGAAAGGTCCTGGTACCATCTCGGACATGGCACGTGTCTCGAGGATGGTGTATCCAGACGGTGTGCGGATGCAAGATCCCTCCTCTGGACAAGTTTAGATTAGATGCCAGATTCCCGTGACCAACATGCTTCAACACGAACCGTGGGGTATGCGACAGAATCCTGCGCATAAACCAGTCATATCTCGATCCTGGTGCATTTCATAATCAAACACCTTCCTACCCCTTGGCGCGGGTAAAGAATAGACAACCTCCACCGTGTGACGGACTCTCCGAGCCTGTTTGGTCGACAAAAGACGACTGCCCATGCCAGGCCGGGATCTTTGCATCTATTGTTGGTGTTTGATTTGAAATGCACGTTCGGCTAGTGTGACGACTGATGAAGGTGTCGTGCCTCAGGGGTGCACCGTTGTGGCTTACACGATCAAGGGTCCTCTGGATAAGAATGCGAGGTAAGGAAGTCGGAGGCGGGGGCGGGGGGATGACTATACACTGTTTGTTGGTTGTTGGCGGCGAGGGCATGCAAGATCTGCTTGTGGTGGTTGACATGTTGGGACATGTCGATTTGTTGCTGCTAGGCTGAAAGTCTAACGCCCCAAAATCTTTAGACTAGTTTGTTGCTCTATCTATTTGCTTCTATTGAAAGGCTTTGCTGTGCCTCATATAGGTCCTGATACGAGCCATGGTGGCATCATCGGCACCGTCGCCGTCGAGGACCATGTCATTGTCGCTTTCGTCATAGTACATGTTGTCAAACTCTTCCTCGTCGGATGCATTTCCATTCCGATAGCCATAAGGATGGCGTCCGTATTCATCATCTGACTCTACCTCGTCTTCTGGATAGTCAGCTGTGTAGTAGTTCTCGGCTAACAAGTTTGCATTGTCAGTCTTAGTTCTCATTTCCTCACGCCGGGTGGTGTTGCCCGAGACTAGCTAGTAGACTCACCATTCTCGTCCTCCTCGTCTTCATCCAGGTCCTCGTCTTCATCACGCTCAGGACCGTAGAAGAGGTTACTCTCCTCTTTTCCATCAAGAACCAACACGCCAACGTCGGTCGGTGCCACATCGACAGTCATGGCGTGTGCAGGGATGCGGACGTATTCCTCAATGATCCAATCGTCGTCGTCTTCTGCCTCACTCTCACCCATATTCATGCTGACATCTTTTGGCTCGGATGTGCTTGCAGCCACTTCTGGATGACGCTCCTGATATCTCTTAGCTGGAGCTTTAGGCTTGAATCTGGCTACTCTTTGCTTTTCCTGTTCCATGTCCTCGAGATTAGCCCCAATCTCCTTCATAACCCAGTCGTTCATGTCAGCAGTTATCTTTGATAAATCTTGGTCGTGAGGACTCATAACGGAAGTTGGAAGAGGAGACCGTGTATTGGGACCAGGAAGAGGAGAATTCTGCCTGCTCCTCGCTGCTGGCTTTTTAAGTCGTCGCTCCTGTTGTGGTGGCTCCTCTGAAGGCCGCAATTGGGACGAGACATCTGAAGACATCGTTGTGTCTCGACTTGGTTGCACTTTTGGTACTTTTATAGATGCCTGAATGGTTTTCATGACCTGCGAGGCTCGTTGACTGGCTTTTGCTCGGCTTCGTTCGACGAAGACAGCAGGTCCGTAGCGTGCTCGCTTATTCAGGCCAGCACTTGATGGTTGCGCCGCATTAGAGGCGATCATCATCTTCCTCGATATGTGAAAGCGTCGTGGTTCGGTGACCTTGGAGGGTTCGACTGATTTGGTGTCCGGTATCGGGGCGACATCATCAGGGCCGACGCTCTTCTTTATTGGTGATGTATCATCGTTCGGTCCCGAGACATGAATGACTGGCTTGGCATCACGAAGAGAGGGTGATGGGTTCTCTATCGTCGGGGACTGAGGGCCGGGGTGCCTCCTTTGATAGACCCATTTGCTATCACTTCGATGGCGTTTCGCGGCTTCGTCAAACTCTGGATCGAGTTAGATTCTGTAATAGTGAGCGGGCAGTAGAATAAGGCATACGTAGAAAGGTCACAGGAGACTCATCGTCACGCTTGCGCTTTACGCGGATGAGTTGAGGTGGAATCGACATATTGCTGGGTATCTGTTTCGAGTGATTTGACGATATGAATGAAATGCGAAGCAAGGAAACAAGCCAGTCTGCTGATGATGTAGTCTAGATGTATAACAGATGAAGTAGAAAAGGTAGGCTTGAGTGGTTCTTGTGCGACTGAAATAAAGGTGGTTTTAGAGAAGGTTTCTTTGAATGCGCCGGCTGCGTGAGTAGGTAAGCATGCGTGCCAGAGGTTGTGTTTTCGCCATGAACGATGAGGTCAGAAGCTGGCAACGGTAGCATTAGGTAAGGTACTAAGGTATTTTCCATTCTCAATTTTTCATCCACTCGCCGTGAGGTACCTACCTACCTAGTACCTACTTAGGTAATGGAGGTTAAAGGTGGGGCCACTCAGTGGGAAGAGCCGCCGAAAGAGCCTCCTGGGAGGTGGGTCCATCCTGGTTTTAGTGTCTGCGTTAGCGGATAGAGTTATCCTGGCACTCGGTGGGGGTTGGTGGTTGAGCTTCTTAATTCATTACCTACCTACGTACCTAACTGAAGTGAAGTGAACCGGCTTGGGCTGAGAAATGCATCAAGAGATTGTAATCCAGAAACGAATACCAGTGGCTTAATAATGCACTTGTTCAAGGTACCTAGGTAGATACACCATCTTATCACACTCCCTGTCTTCCATGTCTCTAAAATGAAATGGCTACTGCCCTTGAGTTGGCTTTCGACGGTGCGAGGTTAAGCTGGGTAGTGGGGCTGATAACGGATAAGAATCTCCTGATACTCGGGCAAGCAGGCAGGCAAGCAGGCAACACCCGAGTATCTTCAGAGCTGGAGGTCTAGACCAGCTTGATTCTTTCAAGTCCTGAACGCCAATGACTAGAGTTGTTTGAAGAAGAGGAAGGCAGATGGAGTATGCCTGATATTTGATCCAAAGCAAGCGAGAGGACGCAAAGACATGCTCATAACTCGCTTCGACACCTTGAAAACGGTTGGAATGCGGGGGCGCACGGTTCACCGTAGTCTACCCACAAGTGCATAAGGCACACAGTCTGGGCCGTCGTACTCACAACCCACCTGATTTCTTCCCTGCTCCCGTTGATTGACGTGCATGAACTCAGAGGGATCTTTATGCTGGGATATAGCGGAACGGTATCAAAATAGATCAAGAGATCAATTGCGGTAACCAATTGCCAAGGAGACAAAGAGGCATGTAGATCGGCGACTATAAAACAAGGCACCAAAGCTAATTGGTAACCTACATACAAGGTCAGTACAGACCCGTCGTCACTGCAGATCGTGATCAACCCCGGATTACGGCGTAGTAGATACCTACGTACCTAGCCTTCAACTCAACACCAAGATTGGTACTGAGTTGGGCGGAGGATTATGGATTGCGGAACGCGTTTTAGTTACGGTAGGTCATACAAAAGCTCCTAATGTACATGGATCAGATCCAGTCACTTCTTTAATCACGAATTAAAGTTCCCTGCCCCCCCATCTCTCGTCCATTGAGCTCAATGACGTCTATCCAGCACTTGTTCTAGGGGGTACCTAATCAGTATGTATCCTCGGTGTACTGTAGGAGCTAATGAGATCCAATACCTTGACTAAAAGTGACTTGAAAAAGTCAATGCAATGCAAACTCACGTGTTTATTAGGCCCCAACAGCAGACTCCAACGCCTTATTCCGTTACTCTCCCTTGTCTTCTTGTCCTTGTTCTTGTCCTTGAGACTTGTCCTCGACTGTCAATTATTAGGTGCCTTGCTCCGCACAAGGACCAAGGGCATCGATCGGCCGCACAGCTCCGGCCTCCAGTTTGGTGTTGCATTGGCCTTCAGCTGTCGTCATCCCGCCTCCTCCCTCCTTTCTCCTCCTCACTCCTCCTGTCTTCACCCAACTTCCATATTAGCATTTCTTGGGTACTTTCTTTCTTTCGTCATTCTACACCTCACCTTTACCTAGTTTTTCCTCATTTTCTTCATGTGCCGCACTTTTTCGACCTGTTGTCAATGCTTTGTGATCCTGTTATATTGATCTCTGGATCATCACTCTGTGTCGACAGAGGTACGAACATCCATCCAATTCATCCCTGTCCGTCGTTCGATTCTCGCGGGTTCCGAAATCAGAGCATCAATGCCAACACAGTGACCTTTTTAGAAACCCACGATTTGCTTTAATTACGCCTTTGCCTCATCATCTAACTATTCATTTGCGTATGCATTTTGACCACGCTTCTGTCTCGGCTGAGAATTACTTACTGTATCAGTGTCCTTTCGGCTCAACCCGCCCACCATGTCCTCCAAAATGCCATGTACAATTACCTACAAGAAGCCCGGGATTTCACCTCCTGTCTTTCTTGCAGGCTCCTTCACTGATCCACAATGGCAACTTCAAGAGATGGAATACACTACTGACCAAAACGGAGACCCTGTTTTTCAGTCCAAGGTTATGCTGGAACCTGATCAGGATTACCAGTTCAAGCTCCGCATAGGTCATGACAATTGGGCTCTAGCCGAGGACTATCCTACTGGTGAGTTCAGAGCCGTTCCCTATCCCGAGCTGTTCCCTGATATTTTGTTCCAAAAGCAACCGATGATTCCGGAAATCAGAACAATGTTATACGTGCACCTGAAAAGCCAGCTGAAGAGCAGATCGCACCAGCCGGCATCGATACACCAGCAATCAGCTTGAACCCTGCCAGTCAGCTCCCCTCGACATCTACAGACGCAGAATCCGTCGCCGAGAACGCGGGAGATTTCAAGGCTCCATTATTTGCCCACGAGTCGCCAGGTACAGATGTTGAAGATGACACCGATGACAACGAGATACCATTGTTGGCTCATGAGACTCTGGGTGATGAGTTCAAGGAGGAAGCCGAAGCAGAGGCCTTCAAGGCACCTCTTTTGGCGCACGAAACGCTCGGAAACGATGCGAAGGAGGACTCCGAGGAAATGAAAATGCCACTGTTTGCACACGAGTGTCTTGGTGCTTACGATTTTGGAGAAGAGCCAGACTCAGCTCCGATCGCAGTCAATAGCCCAGGTCAAATTTCAAGAGCCAAATCGAAGCACGGCGAATCTTCTGACATTGACGTCAACGACCCTACACTCGAGACCTTTCCTTCCGATCGCGGCTCGATCCTTGATGCCATTCGGACCATTCAGACTCACCTTGGAGAAGACCAGACCCATCTCGAGGACATTCCTCTGTCACCTCGTGTAATCTCATCTAGAAGGGCTAGTCTGGATTCTAACGATGACTTGTGTCTATCACCTGCGTCTTTGAGTCCTACCGTCACTAGGAGACGAGACAGCAGACCTTCTTATAGTTTCGGGCGAACTCGTTCCTTAGTATCTCTAGGCTCAATCGAAGAGGAGCCCAAGCCTGCTACAAGTAAGCAATCCGGAGGCCCTGCCGTTGTATCTCTACCGAATCCCAACTCCAAGAGCAAGCCAGTCGGGCAAAAGTCACCCCCTAGTGAGGAAGACGAAGCTGTCGTAATGAAGACCCCAGAGGTAAAATCCAGTACGAAGACCAATGGCGAGTCAGCATCTCAAGTTGAAAGTTATGAGGCCCAGAATACCCAACCCGATAAGGCCTCCAGCGCCACCACGGCTGCAGATGCCCCAGCAGCTGCAATCTCCCAAGCGATCGACAGCCCATCTAACGGCACGCCAGCGATCGGTAAATCTGTGCAAAACGAATCTTCCAGAATCCCCGAGCCCGAAGCAGTCCAATCCTCAGAAGAGCCACAACCAACAGCAGATTCAATTATCGGCAAAGGCATCAAGAACACGGCGGCTTCAGGGGATCCTTCTCGAGCACCGCCACGTGGCAGTGTTGTGCCCTTGTGAGTACCTACTTGACATGTCGAAGAGAATGCTTCTTAACAATGATGCCTCAGAATCGTTACAACGGGAGCCCTCGCTATCGCCATTGGGATAGGGTGGTGGCAGACGGCCGACCACTAGGAGTAGTCACCTTCTAGCGTTGGTTCTGGCTTTGGGCTAGATTGGGTAGTTTTCAGCAATGGATAGGAAGGACATCGACGATGCAGGGATAAACAGTAACTGTACGTGTACGAACCGAGGAGGATTGATAACAAAACATGGATGTGAACAATGGACAGCAGAAACCTATACAAGCCCTAGGAGCCACTAGGAAGCATGTTTATTTTGTCAATACCAATACTAAACCGATAAGTACGATTTATCATGTACTTTTATTAAATATTGTCTTCGTATTGTATCCGTAATAACACCCCAAACCAGACACTCTCATGACTATCTGCTTTTGTAGGGCATTGCCGCTTTTGCCCAGGATGGGCTGAGTTTCAGCTCAGCTCTGCTCACCCTGACCCATAACTATATGCGCATTCTTGACGATTCCCAGAAATCGTACCCTCCATAAAGCGAGGTTCCCGGAAATGGGATCGGACACGCCCTGTGGTCAGTGCTTTGACATTCTGCCCCTGACTTGCGAATCCTCCGCGGCTTAGATTGACCTGCCGTTGAAAAGCTAATAGTGAAAGCATTGATATGCCAGAATAGCCAAGGATCGAGCATGTTAAGTGTTGGACGTTAAGTATACCTTGTTGTGATATCTGCGATAAATACTTACACAAGGTGAGGCTAGGTATGTCAGATAAAGGGCTACCCTACCTACTAGGTACCTAGGTACATCAGGTAGAAGGTCAGGAAAGATACTAAGGTACCTAGTCAACTAGGATAACACCTAGGATGCCTCAGGCATAAAAGCATCACCGGAATAGTGGGTTGTCGCACCCCCTCCCACACAACATAGGAGGATACAAGTCACACACATCAATTAATCATACAATTCCACCGCACCAAAGTTCCTATTTGGCCGTGCTATCTGACAGTATAAGTGTTAGACCAACAGTCAGGCCAGAAGAGCCTCTATATGATAGACCTGGGGGCTCCTCGGGTAGTCCTCGGAGTTTGTACGGGCTGGTGTCCTGTTGACGTTTGCCCAGGACTAACTTCCGATGTCGGTGTGCAAGCTGAGTCATGAGCGTAGATAGGTACCCATATATAAAGTTTCAAGCCACAGACGGCTGTATAAATATCTGTTCTACCCCACTTACGCTGGAAAGGAAGGGAGAAAAAACACTTCCTATTATACCATCTTTCTACCTTTGCTAACACATTCTCAATTCCAATCACCATGTCCACCGAAAAGCGAGTCTGCCTGTAAGTAATTTCGTGCCCCTGTGCTAACTCCAAGCTGACCATGGACAGCGCCTACTCTGGAGGTACGATACAGCTGCCCCTCCACCCACACTGACGCCCCATGAGGGGGTTCATGGAGTATTGTAGAGTGCAGTAGCTGATATAGCACAGGCTTGGATACGAGTACCATCCTAAAATACTTAGTACTTGAGGTATGTCTAAGTCCCTCTCGATCGATTCCTTTCCGCTCTTAGCAGCGCTGTCGCCGAGGGGCCTGGTTCCGGGTTGGCACGAGACCATCCTCTGACCAATGCCACCATCGTGGGGCAATGGCGGCAAGCAAAGGAGGGAAAAACACACACATACTCAATGTTACTTTAGCTAACGCTTTTTTCTTTCTGCAGGGATATTCCGTTGTCGTATGCTCGTCCCTGCTCTAATCGAACCCGACCTCGCTGCTGACTGTTAAGTGCTTCCTCGGTAACGTTGGCCAAGCCGAAGATTTCGCTGCGGTCGAGAAGAAGGCTCTGGCTCTGGGTGCTGAGCGTATGATCATCGAAGACCTACAGGAGGAATTCTCTGAGGTCATCTTCCGCAGCATCCAATGCAACGCCATCTACGAAGACCGGTGAGTTCATTCTTATAAGCTTGGGCAGGTCAAATCTCCTGGCTTGTAGCTCTGCTGCAATGTCTTGGCCTCGATTCGCCATCCGGCCCGGCCTATTATCTTTGGGCTACAGCTAAGGTTACTAGATATCTTCTTGGAACCAGTCTTGCCAGGCCAGTGCTGGCTCGCGCGCTCGTTCGTGTGGCTCATAAGTATTCCTGCAAGACCTTGAGCCACGGTTGTACAGGCAAGGGAAATGATCAAGTGAGATTCGAGTTAGCTTGGCGAGCACTTGACCCTGTAGGTACCCTGTCCTGATGTTCATACCATGAAGACTAAACACAACCCAGAGCCTCGAAATCATCGCTCCTTGGAGGATGCCTGAGTTCTTTAAGCGCTTCCAGTAAGCTTAGTCATTACCTCCTTTCGGCAGGACTGACATGATACTAGAGGTCGACAAGACCTTCTGAAATTTGCTGCTGAGAATAACATCCCTGTCTCGTCCACCCCCAAGGCTCCTTGGTCTCAAGACGGTGAGTCGCAAAGATGCCCCTGTTCGATGTTTTCCGGGGGTTGGATAGTTGGCCGCTTCAAATTACTCATTGACTGCTGAGTGGCTGAGGCAATGATGAATTCTTTGTGTATCCGAACCCTATCTGACTGTGAATTAGATAACTTGGCTCACTGTAGCTCGGAAAGTGGAATTCTTGAGAAGCCCGATGTGCCTGCCCCCGAGGATGTATGGATCAAGTCCGTTGGTATGTTACAATACGTTATGGCCTACTGCCTACAGTAGCCGTTGGCTGATTGGTGCTACAGATCCTCTCACAGCCCCCGATACCCCTGCCAAGTTCTCTATCGAGTTCAAGGAAGGCATCCCAGTCAAGCTCGAGGTAGAGGGTGGCGAGACTATCACTGGAGGGCTCAAGCTCTTCAAGGCTCTCAATGAAATTGCTGGCCGCCATGGTGTTGGGAGGGTAGATATCGTGGAGTCTCGGTTAGATATCTCTCAAGACCCCGTCCTTGAAGGCTTTAACTGACCATCACAAGCTTCATTGGATTAAAATCTCGAGGGTGCTATGATGCCCCAGCTCACACTGTCCTAAGGCTAGCGGTAAGCGCGATTCGTTCTTGAAGTAACAATTACTGACGTTCACAAAGCACATCGATCTGGAAGGTATGACTGTTGACTCTCGGGTTCGGTCAATTATGGCCTGGATTGGAAACCAGTGGTCGCAATGCCTATACAATGGTATGTTTGTTCGATTCATCCTTTGAATGTCTCTAACATGTCCAAGGCTTTTACTTCAGCCCAGAGAGGGAGCTTCTTGAACACAGTATTGGATTCAGCCAGAAGCATGTTAATGGCACAGTTAACATGATGGTCTATAAGGGCGCAGCCCATGTCCTTTCCCGCTCTGCGCCTGGAAGCAACCTCTATAGCGAGGAACAGGCGAGTATGGATACCCTTGAGGGATTCAGCCCAGAGGATACCAGTGGCTTCATTGCTATCCAGGCAATTCGTCTAGAGAAGTACGGCGCTGCCAAGATCCAGCATGGTGAACCCCTGGTATGAGGTCATAAAGGAGACTTGTTACCTTGATGGGTGCGCAAAATTTCATCGAGTCTTGGAGATGGAAGGCATCGTTGGTGGAAATTCCGCAAAACTCCTTAAGCACGACGAATAAAAGCCACATGATTTAATGCAACCACAGCTGCGGAAAGTGTGTAATTTGGTCCCTTTGAAGCCTCTTTCGGATCCCCTTCCGGATGCCCTCTATGATCCCTCGAGATCTTCGTAATCCCCTTTGTAAACCCATTCGTGGGCGCGTTGGGTATTCCCCCTGAAGTGTGATCCCTAGAGCTGCTTTGATCGTAAGGGCACGTAATGAAGGGAAAGGCCCGCAGAAGGTCTCCAATCGGATCTGGAAGAGGTTTCGACTGAAGGCTCAATTTACACGCTTTCGTAGTACAGATAACTTTGATCAGATAACGTGACCCTCATTGGTGCTACTTCATTAGACCAACCACCAGTGGCAGATATCCATTAGCTATTTATAATTCATTTCTTGATACTGCCCTCTCTAATCAAACCCCGTGCCTACAATCGGCATACATCGGGTCCATGAGCGTGCTTGACGGTGTCCGCAATCGCCTGCCTGAGAAGATTCTGAGCTGCCGTAACTCAGAAGAAGACTACAACCGCCTGCTCCAAAACCGCGCCATCCTCCATCCTCTTGTTTCAGTCTCCTGTCTGTTCCAAGATCTTTCGCGGATTTTGGACGCTCGAGGATGTTCAGAAACTCCGTCTCCGCTGCTGTCCAATACTGTTCGAGGCGCAGCGGGTTGGTAAGGCCTAGAACAGTTGGCCTCGCTGGGTACCAAACCTTGTCTGGAATAAATTAGTCCTGGATTTCCAACTAAGTTTTTTAATGCTGAGAGTGACGAGATATACTTCTTCTACCGTGGTCCAAGATGGGCGAGCTTGCAGCTTAGCCATGCTCCAGTTGCATTTCATCGCTCGTTGTTGGAGTTCAACTTTCTTTCTACACTGCCCCAACTCTTGGACTCTGCCGTCAGTTGATACATTATTGCTAGGCTCATCTGGTTAGATACTGTCCTCTTATCTTCTCCCTGGTAGGGTCTCCCGAAAATGTGAGTTGAGGGGTCGGGGGTTGTATTGACCCTTCTGCTGGCAGCGAGGGGCAAAGAAGTCATGTGCTCGTATAGAGAATTCTGTGATAGTTTAGAGTGCATGGACTCTTCCCACAGATGCGCGATCAGAAGCCCATAAGTCGTACCAAATCCTTCAATTCCAAAATCTCCGAGGCGAGACTGAACATACTTTCAACTTCTGGGAGGATGCCCTGGGCGGCCCTTTGCTCAGGCAAGCTTAGCCTGGCTCACCACAAGCTCTCTTTTTAGCTCAGCCAGCTCGGAAGAGCTCAAGTTAAAGCGGCATCTGCTCAGGTCCAGAAGCGGAAAAGGAAACGTTGCTGTCAGTTTTGGAGTGGTATATTGGATGTAATATGAGGTGAGATTACTGAACCTTCCAGGGAGCATGTGGGGTAGATACATCATCATACACGGGACGGTGTCTTGGGTTTGTTCGTCTGCGCCGGCGAAAAAGACTCCGAGGCCCGACTTCAACAGAAGAAGGGAAAAAAAAAAAACTCCACCATTGATCAGTGTCATATTATCACCAAGAATATTTCTGCAACACAGTTATTTTCATCGCATGAAACCTGGTAATTATGCAGCGCATAGCAACGAGTTCGGTTTGCTTGGGTTGTATTCGTTCATCCAGGCCGTCTACAGTTGCACGTTCATCCCTACAAACATGCATTAGCCAACGCCTGGCTTCGCAACATTTCAAGCCTCGCCCCTCGCGCATGGTTCTCTCAGATCGAGTTGATCGACCTCCTCCGTCTCGCGATGACCAGCGCCAACGGCGTGAAGCCCCAGGTCCTTTTGGAGGAATGAATAAGAAATATGCCAATATTGATCCTGCCCGGAGAGCCGGTTCGCATCGCGCGATAGGAGGAAAGAATGGCAATGGAGGAAAGACAAGAGAGAGGGAAAACAGGAGAGGAGGGCCAAGAGACGGAGACGACCGAAAGGCACTCAAGATGCAGAGAGCTCTGGCTACAGTCTCGTACGGAAAGCGAACAGTGATGAAAGAAAGCATGACCGACTACGAAACGTTCGACAACTTTGATCTCGTCCCCACCCTTCAAGTCGCCGTCAACGAAGAGCTCTTTAAGGGCATGACAGATATCAAGCCAACTCCTGTGCAGCGGCTAGCGATACCAGCTTTGCTGGGACAAAGAAGTCCAGACGACTTGAAAAGACCAACAGAAGAGATGAGGTCATTCTTATTAGCGGCAGAAACTGGTTCCGGGAAGACTTTGGCCTATCTGTTGCCGGCTATCGATGCTCTCAAGACTGCCGAAGCAGAGGACCCTGAGCTAAAGGCCTACCGTGAACGATGGGAACTAGAGAAACAACGCCAATTGGAGGGCAATTCCAAGGGCAAGCCATTTGACGAGCCGCATCCTACCATGGCCCGCCCCAAGGTTGTCGTCCTTGTGCCCACAGCGGAGCTCGCACACCAGGTCACAAAAGTATCCAAAGCTCTGTCACATGTGGCCAAGTTCAAGACAGAACTTCTCTCTTCGGATCTGAAACCTCAGCAGATTCAGCGTAACCTCTACGGACCTAGGGGAGTCGATGTCATTGTCTCAACGCCTCATCTTCTCGCATCGATTGCCGATTCAGATCCCAATATCCTCTCCCGCGTATCTCATCTAATAGTCGACGAGGCAGACTCTCTTTTCGACCGAAGTTTTGCTCCAGTCACCACCAGTATTGTCGAACGAGCGCTACCCTCCATGAAACAGTTTGTCTGCTGTTCAGCCACAATTCCCCGCAAACTCAACAACTTCCTCGCCACCAACTACCCCAAGATGGTCCGAATCACCACGCCCAACCTCCACGCTATTCCCCGACGTGTCCAGTTAGGTGTCGTTGACGTTTCCAGAGAACCCTACCGTAACAGGAAGGATCTCGCCTGCGCCGATGCTATCTACTCTATTGGCCGTGAGTCTGCCAGTCACGAGGGACCAGTAAAGGGCGAGGTTGATGTTCGCCGCATAATGGTTTTCGTCAACGAGAGGGAAAAGACCGAGGAATTGGCGAACTACCTCAGAGAGAAGGGAATCAATGCCGAGGCTCTCCACAGAGATACACCTGAGAAGCGCCATGGCGAAGTTCTGGAGACTTTTACTTCTCCCGCGCCTCTTAGAATCCCAACCCCGTCAATTGCCTCCAAGGCTCGATCACTGGCCAACGTGAGGGTCCTGGTCGTCACAGACCTGGCCTCAAGGGGTATTGATACCCTTGCAGTCCGTCATGTGATTCTATACGATGTCCCTCACACAACCATTGACTTTATCCACCGACTTGGTCGTGCCGGACGAATGGGTCGACGTGGTCGTGGCATCGTACTTGTTGGTAACGACGATAGAAAGGATGTTGTCGCGGAGGTCAAGAACAGCATGTTTAGAGGACAGGCCCTGATTTAAATATCGCTATCCTGTTTCGTTTTATGCGTCATGTACAATGAATGGTAATTGGATGTATGTAAGATTATAGGGTCATGAGGTTGGATTGAGCGTATCTGCATAGATGGGTAAAGATTTTTATGAATATCTCCATAGAGGAAGTGTACAATATCTAATCATCTTATGATTTATGTGCCTACCTAATAAGATGCACGAAAATCTCAAATTTGTCGTATATAATCTGAATAGTTACTCCGTACGGAGTAATGCAGTTCAATTTAAGAGGTAAGCGGGTCTAGCGTCTCTGGGCCAAAGCGCATGGTGTTTGGTGGGCCATCGAACCTGTAGCTAAGCTAAGGTAAGGCAAGGTATAACCAATCCCGCTAGGTACGTACCGTCAATGTCGCGTCGCGTTTCTTTGGCGTGTTTCTCTTCCCCATTCGCACAATATCATCATCATAGGTTGGTCATTCGCATATTCTCATCCACCCAAAACCCGACCCCCCGGAATTTGTCTCGAGAAGCCCTTCTCCAAAGTCGCAAAGAGTATCTCCATTATCGGTTCTATAAGTTGCCTCCTTGCGACACATATTCCAGATCTGTTACCTCAATGACTCGAGCTAAACGTGCGCGTCGTGCACCCGCACAATCTGCCAAGTCTCATGCACGATCACCTTCACCCGATGCAAGTGACAACCAAGTTCCTCGACCGAATCAGTCTTCTGAGAGAGGCCGTAGGAGGAGGACGCGATCTTCAGGTGCTTATTCAAATGCCGTCAACGAGCAAGATGTTCTCGCGGCGAATCGGCGTCGCGACGCAGCGCTAGACAAGCTAGCCAACGAGGATCCTACTTCCACAGCCAGTAACAATGTTGAGGATGGAGATTCCGGAAGCTCAGTTGAAGGTGGACGACGAGTGACAGCTACACCGACTCGAAGAAGGGACACAACTGGACTAGATCTAGCGGATAGCGTGTTTGGCGATCTCGATGATAGTTTTGGGCTCGAGGACGACGATACCCGACCAGGACTGCGCTCAGCTGATGCATCATCTCTCAACTTGAGCAACTTCAGGCGCAGGCCACGCCAATCCAGCATTATTGGGCGCAACGACCCTCCCATTAGGCCCAGTAGCCGCGGCGGCAACACACCCAGTATCAGCTCGACACTTCACTTTGGTGCCTTCAAGCGGCGCGCACGAGAGCCGAGCATTTTGGGAACTGCACGAAAGCCTCGACCGGAAGAAAATGCCGCAGGACAGGAACCGGATTCAGCGAGCGAGGACGATGACGATTTTATGCCTGAAGCCGAATCGACACCTCTCAACAACCGACGGCGGACAAAGCCCGAGACCGAGCTGGAGATCGAGGTTCCTGCCTCCCCAGAAGTCTCTGCAGGACCGAAGCACAGAAAAAGAAAGAGTGAAGATGCGTTACCAAGTAGTGGTCGGCCTGATAAGATGTCGCGAATTGAGAGAGACGCGGGCGAGGAATCAGAGGAAGAAGCGGGACCTGCACCCCAGGTGATTTCTGATAATGCGAGCGATTCCTCACTGTCAGATCTCGATTCTCCCCTAGGACCATCTCCGGTACTTCTGGACAGGCCTGTCACTCCCATCAATAACGAGGAACTCATGGCTCTACCTGCCAGTAGTGATTCAGAAGACGTGAACTGGCCTGATATTCATACCTTGGCTAAGCGGCGCCGAAGGCCTTCCACCACAACACCTATTCGCGCTGATAACTTTTCAGATGTCTCTTCACTTCCTTCTCTGACACACTCTCCCAATTATGCAGAGGCATCGAAGTCCCGGGGCCGGCCGACAACTCGACGTCAGCAACCATCACCAAAGATAACAACTGCCGACTTGACAAATCTACTTCCGAAGCGCCATTACAAGAAGCAGCGGGACCCACTAGGACTGGAAAGCGACGAGGAGCATGACACATCCGGTATCGGGGAGGACGAGGATGAGCTATCATATCTTGACAGCCGGGCTGCGCGCCGAAGACGAGGCGGGCGCCCAACGCAGGCTCTTAAGCCCAGACAGCCAACCTCTGACAAGCAGACGGGTCGCAATGCACAGACTTACTCGCGTCGGTCATCGGACAAGGAGAATGAAAATGATGCTGGCAGCGATGAAGACGAGGATGAGCACGAAGCCAGCCGTTTCCAGCCACTCCCAGACGATACTTTTGAGAACGGAAGTGGTGAGAATGCAAGCACTCCATCAGCTGATGAGCTCAAGCAAGCAGCAAGGAAGTTCAAAGAGGTTGACCGGTGGGAACTTGACTTTGAAGAGGTTACGCAGAGTTCGTCTCCACTTGCGCGATGAAGCACAAACGAAGCGAAGCACAAACAATGAGATGAGGGCGCTAGGTGATATGCAAGGGAAAGGGCCGAGGTGTTTGGCGGGTTGGAGCAACTGTTTTCGAGCAAAACCTTGGGAGTTACATAAAGGGAGTATGCTAGGCCAGGGTATTTTATGAGGGTTTCTGAATGACGTCTGTTTCGGGCTCACATTGCATTGTACATTGGGGAGGGCAAGAATGGATCCCATGTCATAGTCGGGTCAAAAGGTGAAGTGGTCTGCGGCGGGCGTCCAAAGAGGACTCTGATGGCTTATTGTAATCAGACAACTAAATCATTGATTTGCGAGTTTCATCCCGCTCCTTACACATTGTGTAATGTGTGATATGCCTCAACTCCAGAAACGCCGTTACTTGGTGTTCTTCTTCTCCTGTCCTGATCGGTCCTCATGCACTTGGGTTGAGAGCTTCTGCCCGATGGTCTACAAGCGGCAGTAGTGGAGCTAGGACGTTGGGATCTCTCAGTGCGATTGTAATGTCGTCTGGCAGTCTTCCAGACATGAGAAGTTTCTGCAGCGCCGAAGTCAGTATTGCATGATGGAAGACTGAGGTTAAACCATTTCCGTAAATACACTCACCCTCTTGACGTTCTCGTAGGTCTCTTCTTGCGCCGAGTATTCGCGAATAACATCATCAGTCTCAAAATCGACATAGACCCTGGTGTCACGTATCCGCAGGACAACATTATCCAGGCGCATGAACAACCGACACAACAAAAGCATGCGCTTCTCGTGCACGCGAACTTTGACGCTAAAGATTGAAATGCCGTTGTCGTCCAGCTCACTCTCATACAGCATAACTTCGTCAAAGAACAGGATGGGGTCTCGACGCTTCAGGAGCTCAATAGGGATCACCTTGTCGGTGGGCGCAAACTGCAAAGTCGAGGCTTCGATGCTACCAGTATATGTCGTCGAGTAGCTCCAGTCATAAGGCTTCACAACTTCCTTTATACCCTGTGTGGTGCCTTCTCGGGTGCTCTCCCAGTCTCGGGCATATGCAACCTTGAGCATGTGGCGATCTGTCTTGTCGACGGCGTCAAGCGCATCTGGAGTGTTGAAACTCAGGGACCAGCCTGAGGGCACATGTTCAATTCCGACGACGTTTTCGCCAAATATCATCTCCGGCATCGGAATGCCAATCTTTTCGGTGAGTGCATCGATGGTACCGGCTTTGGAGATGGGTAGCTTGCGGGTCGAGATACGGAATCTGCTTTGCGAGTGTGTCGTTGTGGCAGAGGCGAGAGCCTGCGGTTTAGGGAACGGTTCGTTCGGGTCTGAGATATGGTTGCGTTGCATCTTTTTGGGTGTGCGTCTTGAGGTTTCCACTATTGAGAGGACGGAGGTGAAGATGTCAGAATCAAGAGCTACCTTAGGGATTGGAAGCTATTGTGTTATTCAATGGTGGGGTACGGTAGATGGGGTAGGGACTATGACAAGGAACCTCCTGCCATGTCAAGGGGGTGTAATAAAACTTGGGACCTCTATCTTAGGGTGACAAAAGTCTTCAGATCAGCTTAGATAAATTTAGTATAGCTTCAGTATAGCTTTAGTAAATCTTAGACTAAGTAATTTTGGCATCTCCATTTAACGTCAGAAGTCTTCTTGCACCCCGAGGCATGTCCCTGAAGCTTAGTACATGTACCTACCTAGGTACTCAAGGTTCAGACAGAGTACCTAGATGTCCAATTGAATAGAAGAAATAAAATATTTGTCATTCATCCAGCTCTAGACTTGTTTATTTCGTTCATCTCGAAGTTTTCTACCATAAGCCTATATTTTGTTTCTACCGTATATACATGTTCACAACAATACGTACTCCGTACAGGTTAGCAGGTTACCTTAGGTACCTGTTTAGTTGCACTTGGCTTTATCAATCAGACATCCACGCCCCATAGATCCGATCCCATTGGGGTTTCGCCAATAGTAGACCCATCACGTTAGTAGCCATAACCCCAACACTATCCCTACCTCTCTACAAAGTAATATGTTCAGTGATTCCAAAGACAGTTCTCTATGTTGAGCAGCTGGAGTCTTGTCGGTATATACAAGCCTCAAATAGAGATATAATTTCCCATAATCTTACTGAGTATATATTTTCCAGTAATTCCAGATACTGAACCGTGAATGAGAATTGGACGGAACAAGTGAAAGTTAATATGATTAGATGCTAAGTCATAAAAGCATTCGAGTCTTCCGTGATACGCTGGGCGGCAGGTAGGTATGGGGGTTTCTCAAGCTACTAACTTTGTTATCTTAACTCAGACTAGTACCTAATAAAGGATGTCCAAATTCTAATGCCACCACGGCCTTGATTGCGATTTACAATGGGAACGACTGACCTATCAAGTAGCACACGTAAACATCTGAAGTATAACTGACTTAAAGTTGGCAAAAAAACACAGGTAACATATATCATGACACGCACATCCAACTCTGTGATTCACCTTACGCCAAGCAGTCTGCTGTCTTTGTAACTAGTGATCGTCTGCGAGCATCACTCATCAGACAACCATCGAGTATTGCCTCCTTCATATCAAATTTATGACCACCGCAGCTTCACAGAACCCGAGCCAAGGACAAGCCGGCCACCGATAGACTTACACGCCACGAAACCAGTTCACAAATCCCCTCCTCACTACATTCTTCGCCCGACGTTTACCGGCACACTGTATCATCAAAGCCATATTCATTCATCAAGTATCTTCTCCGATTATATATACAATACCAGATCGAAGCACACGGAGACAAGATGGTACTCACTACCATTTACTGGAACCTTGCTTCTTCAGATCACCCTTCCTCGTCGACATCTTCCGTCCGTTGGCCTGTCTCTGCAACCACAGGAGTTCCGTGTTCGTCTTTCTCTCCCAGCGCTTCCGAGCTCCTCCGGACCAGGTCCCTGCCCCAGTGGCTGTCGTTTATCAGAGATGTCGGCTTCTACGAGGATCGACACAATCTATTCCAGAGCTGGAAAGACAACAAAGCTCGCATGCAACAATTTGAAGTTCATGCTATCGATGCTCGCCTGCGATCTTGGGCTTCCGAAGTCCATAATCAGTGTCTAAATACCCATGAGTGCTACAGCGTCAGCTGCAAACCTTGCATGGTACGGTATCTGGATGAGCACTCATCTCAGGCGGGCATAGACGATCTAACAGATCCAACGACAAAAGTCAAAGATGTGTCTGAAAGACCAGACAACACTGATCTGGGCACATGTAATCGCCAGTCACACAATTCCATTACTGAAGGCCGAATACGACATGTAAGGCATGAATGCCTGCGAAACTTTATGAACGTATTCTCAACCTGTTCACCCTGCCTCATCGTGGGTCTAGTGTTTGAGCAACCCTCGAAATATGGATATGATGAGCTTCAGAAGGGTTACCTAGCTTGGCGCATGACATGGCACACATTCAAAGTCAATGTAAACCCCAGGTCTCTTGAAGGCACAAAGCCTATTTTGAGAAATATTGCTTTCATGAGCTTACCAAAGCTCAACATGTGGGGAGACATTACAAACGATTATACCCTCTTATCCCATGGATCTTTGACCCAAGAGGATCTCATGAACCTCTATAACCTTGAAGACCGGGCCATTAAGTACTTGGTATCTCACCGTCTTGATTGGAGCAAAGAAATCGATGTTATACAAGATTTTGCGGGTCTGAAACTTTCTATCCTTGGTCAAGAATCCATCTCGGAATTAAGAGATATCATTCATACTGTCAACGCAGACCTCATGAGACTGGTTACCGCTGAACTCGAGCTCACGGAAAATCCCAAAATTTGGAAGGAGATGAATCGAAGAACACTGTATTACTGTGCTAAACAGAATTTCAAGACTCTTAGGCAAGCCCTTTGCGACAAGTATCGGCAAGACACTAACCAACACTTTGGTCGGGAACTATGAGACATACTGGTTGCTAAATATCTGGTCGGGTGCTATGTTGTATGGAAACAACAAGTCTTCATTTTCTTTCTTTGGCTCGAATGCGCTACATGGGCCTGACCAGGCGTCATAAATCTCATTCTACCATGATAAATCGTTCCGGGGATTCAGCTGACGTTCAGTCCGCGAAACGCTGCCCAAGGGTTAAATAAACTAATAGGACTATACTTAGATCTGTGTGTTTTTCTTTCAGTCTTCATACTACTATTTTAGTATATATATCCTACCTGTTTGTAATACAAATAGTCTTGGACCTGCTTTATCCAAGCTATAGTAGTAATGTTGCAAGTTGCTTTTTTATAAATAGGACTAACTACCTACCTTCGCGCGCAACCCCCCCTTTTAAACAGGTTACTAGCCAGGTCACTGGCTAGCTATTAGGATCGTAATAGCTTTTTAGTAAACATATCTTTTCTTTAGTATATTTTTTTATATAGGGTATTTTCTAAATAGGCTATAGACTATTATTATACTATATCCAGGGACAGGCTACCTAAGGTAAGGTAAAGTATTATTAGTATTAGCTTATAAAAGTCTATTATTTTATTTTATTTAAAAACCTATTTAGTTAACTAGCCTAGCTATACTTACCTAACCTATTTAAATTTATAATATCCTAGTAATAACTTACTAGCCTATTTATATTAATTATATCTTTATATTTATTTAGTAATAATAATAAATAGGCTTATTAATATATACTAGCCTAGTATTATTTATTATCTAATAGTTCTTTATACCTTAATACT